GAAGGACTGTAGCCAGAATTCTCCTTGGAAGCAAGAATGGCCAGACTTCATCACACCTACTTTGGTCATGTTGTCAGAAGGGACCATTCCCTAGGGAAGAATATCATGGTTAGTAAAATGGAGGGTCAGTGAAAAAGGGGAATACCCTCAACGAGATGGATTGACACAGTGGCTGCAACCACAGGATCAGGTATAGCAAGGATTGTGAGGATGCTGCATGACCAGGAAGTGTTTTGTTCTGTTGTACATGGGGTCACCATGAGTTGGAACCAACTTGATGGCACCAAACAGCAGCAACAACAGCAACAAGAAGTAGCATTCCAGCTGCACTTTTTCCAGAATGATTTTTTTTTTCATTCTTCTGGCAGTCCATGGTACTTTCAATATTCTTCGTCAGCACCACAACCTTATGAATAACTGTGAAACACTGCCTGATATAATAGTTTCCAGTAGTGATTCCTATACAAAGGAATCATAATTTAACTCACCATACATACTTGGACTCAAAGAACGAAAAATGACCCATGTGGCTTGTATTTGTATTTGATTACAGTGTGTTCACAAATATGACTGTCAGCTGTTTGGAAAAACAGTTTAACATAGTTAATCTATGGAATTGATTCTAGAAATAATTTACACCTAGATGAATCCTTTTGGAAAATTTTACCAAACAAAATAATCTTCAGTGCCCTTCTGAACCAGGGATAGAAAAAAGCGTAAACCATTGGATTAAAAGTAGAGTTCAAGTAGCCAAACCAAATCAATGCATCATTCAAGATGGGTGGGATAGTGTAGTGCACAAAAGGATCCATGACTGTGCAGACAAAGAAAGGGCACCAGCATATCAGGAATACCCCCATCACAATCCCCAATGTCTTTGCAGCTTTCTGTTCTTTGCTTTGTGAAATTCCATTTTTTTCTTCTAGTCGAATTTGAAGCTTCTGATTTGCAACATTAATTGATCTTGCCTGCCCTTTAGCTATTAAATATATTCTGTAATAGATACACAACATAACAGATCCAGGTATGTAGAAAGAAGTCATGAAGGCCAATACTCCAGATGTTTTGCTAAAGAAGACAGAGCAACTCCCTATGCAGTGAACTTGTTTATAATATATCTCTTCAGCTCCTTTGATGTTTAGCTCCAGAAAGATCATTCCAAATGCAAAAATAGCAGGGACACTCCAACTAATGAATATCATCACAAAAATGACCAAGATACTGATTCTGGTTTTGTATCTTAATGGGTCACTCACAGCATAGTAGCGGTCAATGGAAATGAAGGACAAGTGGAAAATGGATGCTGAACTCAACATAATATCAGTGCTCGTGTGAATTTTACAGAAAACTTCACCAAAATACCAGCAATGTTCAACAGATCTCACCATACTATAAGGCATGACCAGGCAGCCCAGTAGAAAGTCTAC